CTCCCCCTGCTTGTGTTCCCTCTCTTGCTGTGTCTCTCTGTCAAATAAATAAAATCTTTAAAAAAAAAAAAAAAAGAGTGACATGAACTACTTCCCAGATTTCCAGGGCCCAAAACAGAACCACTTCCAAATTGGCCAGACTTCTCCACCCTTCCAAAATCAGATAAGGCACACATTTTAGACAAAAACAAATTCCATTTTCAAAATTCTCTGCTTTGCGAGCGATCTGGGGCTGGCCTATCTGATCACCGAGCAGCAGCATGCAGCCCCTGAGTGTGGAGCAGACAGCGTACTCAGCAATAACAGCATAGTGAGCTTCTCCCCCACGTCGCTGGCAAGGATCGGGGTACCAGCAGGTTCAAGTACACTGAGAAGTTGCAAGATACCCACACAGTTCTCGTTATGTAATAGAAATAATATAATTCTGTGTAACAAAGACTCCACTCCCAAGACCGTGGCTAAGATTATCCCTTTCCAGAGTCACTTTATTAGGAACCACCAAGCCTTTTTTAGGATATACTGATCAACTGGCCATGAGAGCTGTTTTCTGGGATTAGTGTGGGGAAATTCTATGTGCATCCTTATGCCCGTGAGTGACAGGTGCCCCTACTCTCTATCCAAGCAAGGTGGGGGCATTAGTGGACACATAATACACCTGCACCCTACTTCATCTGGGAAGCCGTCCCTCTTTTTTAGGGCTCTGGGCCTCAGGGTTGCTCCTTTCTCAGAACAACTGTACCATTTGTTCTTTCTACTGTTTGTCCTGCAATGCCATCATTTGCTCCTAATTAACTTTGTTAGTTACTTCATAGGCATACCTCTCCCCTCTCTGGCTTAACTTGGAGTTCCTTGTTTTGAATGCTGCAGGGCCACAGAATAGAATGCTAGCTTTACATAAATGTGGGCTCCCATGGTGAAAATATCTGAAAGACTTCTTATATAAACTCCATTTCGGCAAAATGTAAATAGCCAATTCCCAAGCATATAGTAGTAGCTCTAGGGAATGCGTTGTCTTTCCTACTATCTCACATAGTTGAGAAAATCAGGTTATCAAGCAAAAGAAGAGCTTAACTTTTGGCTATTTCTGCGTAAGCAAGCATTCAAAACGCTAATCAGTTTAAGTAGATAACATTCCCACAGTGCTGAGGTCCCTGGAAGAACACAAAGCCATTGTGTACAAACCAAATTAATTACCTAAGAGAAAACATCTGAAGATCTGAGCGCCAGCCAGGAAAGTGGGAAAACAAACAATACTGCCAGGCCCTGAAGTCCTGTGAAAGCCTCATGAATTCAACTGTTGAACTCAGAGCAAGACACCCAGGGTTAGATCGATAACTGTGGGATGGAAACATGGCCACAGGTCTGCTGCATTAACACTTACTTATGGTATCTGGAGAATAGAAGACATTCTGCCAACTAATGACATCTCCATGGAAAACAGGACTTAGCCAAAAAAGATTTGGTAATCGATACTGGAGACATTCCAGTGTCCGTCAGTGGATTCTAAACAGCCAATCTGTGAAAGTGTCCCTCAAGGAGATGTGGAAAAGACGTGTCTCAGAAACCATGATTTCCACATTTCTAAGGCAGCTGACACTCTGTCCCACTTAGGTAACTTCAACTCTTTCTGAGTTATGTGGCTCATGTTATCCTACTTTTAAAAAGAGGTCAAAATTCATTTAACTTGTAGACATTAGAGAATAGCCAAATAACTCCTAGGAGAACTGAAGACATCCAGCAGGAGCTCAAAAGCAGGCCTGTGAACTGAACCACCAGACTGAAGTTCTGTGATTCTAAACCCTTGGTTCATTTTGCATTTGCACCTGATTAGCAGCATGTCCAGGCCTCGCTCTGAGAATGGGTGGCAGTGGAGAAGGACCAAGTTCTCTCACTTATGTGCTGGCCGAGAATAAATGTCTCTGTTCTCTGACCTTGGGATGAGAGGGGGCCCCGCATCTGAAATCCCAGCTCAGCTGTGCTCCACTATCTCAGGCCATTGCACTGATTATTTTAACATCGGTTCCAAGACAATTAGTGGAAGTTTAAAATGTCCTCCTTCCATGGGGGGAAAGGACCTCTTCCTTGGTCATGCCTGCTATGTGAACCATGGGACCTGAAATATTTCTGCTCAAGAGGAGAAGACAGATCTTCACTTTTTGTTGAAAGGACATAATACTAAACCATTTGGCTATTCCCCTAGATTTCAAGAGGCCTTCTGAATCCATTTGACAATTACAGTCTTTTAAAACAGATGGCTTAACCAACAGCTTACAGGTATTTTATTTTAAATAGTCTTTCTTTAAGAATAATGTAGAAAATCGAAAGTGGGTGGAGACTGGGTGCTGAGAGAGTGGGGTCAGCCAGGGAAGGTCATGGAGGGCCTGGATCCCGGATGTCTGGTCTACTTGCTGGGAAATCTTCTAGAGGCTTAGCAAGGGGGAGAGCAGAATTCTACTCCTTCCACCCAAACCCAAGGGGAGCGCTGGGGCTTTCCAATTTCAAGGCCCAGGTTGGCTGGTCACAGTGCAAGGCTGGCCTGACCCCTCATCACAAGGAAGGAGCACAGTCTAATGGCACATCTTTGCCCTCAATGCCCCCTAGACCTTCCAGGACCCAAGTGGGAGGCTGGCCCTACAGCACGTTTCCTGGTCAAGATCTGAGCGTACCAGCCACCACAAGTATTTCCTCAATGCTTAGTTTTGAAAAGAAATGTTTCAAGACCCTTTCCTTGCGGGGTTGGGTGTAGATGCTGCCCGAGACTCAGACGTGGCCCTGCCTTCTCTAACAATGTTTGAACCAAGGCCCTGACTAGCTGTCCTCAAGTCATGTTAAACTCAGCCAAAAATACCTGGAAAGCTCTACCTAGATCAGTCTACCCGGTTACATATTAACGGGTGGATTTTGGTAAAAATGAAAATGAAGCCGGCTAGAAAGCATATGCACAGAATAGGAAGTCTAAAAAGCCAGAGCTATGGGGGGGTGCCAGGGGTCTGCAGCTGCTGGATGGTGGGGGGTAGGGGGGAGCCCTGAAAGTCATCAGACGGACTGTGTTCTCTTTGAGAGTGAGTCACACGACCCCTGCCCCTCCAACCCTGGATGCTTTAAGTTACAAGAAAAACACAATGGTGTTGATACAGGCCTTCATTTCCCCTTTGTTGACATAGGTTCTACTTTTTATAGTTTTAAGAATTTCTTTGTTAGTTCAGTGTGCTTATGTATATAATTCAAGTTAGACCAAAAGGAAAAAAAAAAAAAGATTCTTTGTGGTATGAACATACTTGCCTTTACTGTAAAATCCCTCTTTTGAATGCACACTTGCCAAATAAGAAGATGAACAGAACGTGAAGGTGAGTTATAGTTGACACGGTTGATATTGAAAGATATCAATATATTTTCACATACTGCATTTATTCAAAAACTATCCAGGTAACACTGGTGTCACCAACTAGGAGCATATCTTTTTAAAAAAATAATGTTGGTACTTCAGCAAGTGGCTAAAAAGAAACAAAACCATTTTCTCTGCAGAATTCTCTGAATTTCGAGAGTGAGTCTGTGACCTGATAGAGGCCTCCAGCAGCCCAGGGGCCAGGGAAGGGCATCCTGGCCGGGCTGACACCCTCCACGGCTGGAGAGCAGGGCTCTTCCCCTCTCCACCTGCCTCAGGCCCCCACCACTAACAGGCTGACTGGCTTCCAGGCCCTGTCCTCTCACTGCCACACCTGGTTTCCAGGACCGCTCCAGGCAATTTCCGGACGCTGCACTGTTGCTGGGGAAAACCAGGCAGGCACCCTCTCTCGCAAAAAACTAAAATGCACGTATGGATTGCCCTCCAATGAAAATGACTTATCCAGATCAATGATTCTCACATGGGAGGGAGGAGCACTTGCTTCGAAAAAAAATATTTTATTTGGCATTTGGGGAACAGTAAATATTTACTGTTTTTATAAATAAATCTGGACAAACGTGTTATGAATTAAAAATTGGTTAAAAATACTAATTTGAATAAAGGCCCACAGGTGCAATGGAAACTTTTTCTTTTTTGAGAGAAATGCTAAGTTTTATGCTTATACATGGATTCCAAAGAATACTATTGGCTCAACAGATTTTCTGCCAATACATATGTTCCTTCTTGAATCAGAAAAGGAAATAAACTGAATCCCTTTTTTCTCCATTAACTGCCACTAATTATCAGAGTCTTTGGAGAACTGCTGTTGAGATTTCCTAGACACCACATTAAGCATGGTTTTGCTTCATTTGTATCACTCTGGGGAAATTATTAAAATAGTAATAAGGTTTTAACACGAATTGCTGATTATTGGGTTAGGTTTAATGTCGTTTCTAATGATTTCCACATTGATGTCAATTCAAAACGAACTGTTCTTACTTAAGCTTTGGCCACTTACCTTCTGTCCCTTCACTCCATGGCAGTCACACTTCCCACAGCCAGAGCCAGCACAACCACCCTGGAAGAAGAGGAAAATGTCTTTAAATAGAAGAACTCTTGCAAATTGAGGTCACTTTTTTAATTGAAATGATTTTGGCATCTTCACCCATTTATGGGAGATGTCCTACCCTGTTATTATGAACACAACCTTAAAATATGAGATCCAGATTTACTCTAATGGGGTTATCACGTACATGCCCTGTGGCTTCTCTCTCTTGCCCTAACAGATGAAACAGCAAGCCTGGAGTAGAGCAAATCAAAGCACTACTTGGTCCACAAAGGGAAGGCTGTCATTTATACTTTTGAAATTGCCTCCCCAGAGATGATTTTAACAGGACATCACCCATATTTCCAAGGCTATGATCCTGATTTAGGAGTTTCAGACCTGAGACCAAGGAAACTGAGGACCTGGGAGAGCAGAGTCCATGCTTTGTCCCTCAAATTCCCAAGGACACACAAGCATGCAACAAACATTTGTGCAAAGAGGAAATAAATGAAGGAGCTGATGTTAAGCCCAACCTTAAAGAACTGATTTTTAATTCAGTTAAAAGCTTGAATGAAAAGAACCCAAGCATGTAATAAAAGCTGGAGAAGAGGAATATTGTCCAGAATAGATCACATATTAGGCCACAAAACCAGCCTCAACAAATTCAAGAAGATTGAAGTCATGCTATGCATCTTTTCTGACCACAATGCCATGCAACTAGAAATCAAACCACAAGAAAAAATCTGGAAAGAGCACAAATACATGGAGGTTAAATAACATGCTACTAAACAATGAATGGGTCAGCCAAGAAATCAAAGAAGAAATTGAAAAGTACATGGAAACAAATGAAAATGAAAACACAATGGCCCAAAATCTCTGGGGTGCAGCAAAAGCAGTTCTAAGAGGGATGTTTATAGCAACACAGGCCTACCTCAAGAAGCAAGAAAAATCTCAAAGAACCTAACCTTACACCTAAAGGAGCTAGAAAAAGAAGAACAAACAAAACCCAAGCCCAGCAGAAGGAAGGAAATAATAAAGATTAGAGCAGCAATAAATGATATGGAAACTAAAATATAATAGAACAGATCAATGTAACCAGGAGCTGGTTCTTTGAAAAGATCAACAAAACTGATAAACCTCTAGCCAGACTCCTTTTAAAAAAAGAGAGAGGGGACCCAAATAAGCAAAATTACTAATAAAAGAGGAGAAATAACAACCAATACCACAGAAATACAATAATTATAACACAGTATTATGAAAGCCTATATGCCAACAAATTGGACAACTTAGAAGAAATGGATAAATTCCTAGAAACATATAATCTACCAAAACTGAAGCAGGAAGAAATAGAAAATTTGAACAGACCAATTACTAGCAATGAAACTGAATCAGTAATTAAATAAATAAATAAACAAACAAACAAATAAATAAACAAGCTCCCAACAAACTGAAGTCCAAGACCAGATGCCTTCACAGGCGAATTCTACCAAACATTTAAAGAGTTAATACCTGTTCTTCTCAAATTATTCCAATAGATAGAAGAGGAAGGAAAACTTCCAAATTCATTCTATGAGGCCAGCATCACCCTGATACCAAAACCACATAAAGACATCTCAAAAAAGAGAGAACTACAGACCAATATCCATAATGAACATGGACGCAAAAATCTCAACGAAATGTTAGCAAACCAAAACCAAAAGTACATTAAAAACATCATTCAACACAATCAGTGCGATTTATTCCCAGGATGCAAGGGTGGTTCAATACTCACAAATCAATCAACATGATACATCACATCAACAAGAGAAAGGATGAAAACCGTATGATCATTTCAACAGATGCAGAAAAAGCATTTGACAATGTACAACATCCATTCATGATAAAAAACCCTCAACAAAGTAGGTCTGGAGGGAACATACCTCAACATAATAAAGACCACATAGGAAAACCCATAGCCAACATCATACTCAATAGGGCAAAACTGAGAGCTTTCCTCCTAAGGCAGGAACAAGACAAGGATGTCCACTCTCATTACTTTTATTCAACATAGTACTGGAAGCCCTAGCCACAGCAATCAGACAATGTAGAGAAATAAAAAACATCCAAATTGGTAAGGAAGAAATAAAACTCTCACTATTTGCAGATGACAAGATAATATATGTAGAAAACCCAAAAGACTCCACCAAAAAACTACTAGAACCAATAAATGAATTCAGTGAAGTCCCAGGACACAAAATCAATGTACAGAAATCTGTTGAATTCCTATACACCAAAAATGAAGCAACAGAAGGAGAAATTAAGAAAACAATCCCATTTACAATTATACCCAAAACATAAAATATCTACAAATAAACTTAACCAGAGGTGAAAGACCTATACTCTGAAAACTATAAAACACTGATGAAAGGGGGGAAAAAATGATGAAAGAAATACAAGATGACACAAAGAAATGGAAAGACATTCCATGCTTATGGATTGGAAGAACAAACATTGTTAAAATATCCATACTACCCAAAGCAATCTGTACATTCAATGCAATCCTTATAAAAATACCAACAGCATTTTTCACAGAACTAGAACAAACGATTCTAAAATTTATATGGAACCACAAATGACCTCAAATAGCCAAAGCAATCTTGGAAAAAACAAACTGGAGGTATCACAGTTCCAGACTTCAAGTTATATTACAAAGCAATAGTAATCAAAACAGTATGGTACTGGCATAGAAATAGATACACAGATCAATGGAATAGACTAGAAAGCCTAGAAATAAACACACAATTACATGGTCAATTAATCTCTGACAAAGGAGAAATGAATATACAATGGGAAAAAGATAGACTCTTCAACAAATGGTGTTGGGAAACTGGACAGCCACATGCAGAAGAATGAAACTGGACCATACTTTCCTAGAGCAAACACAAAAATAAACTCAAAATGGATTAAAGACCTAAATGTGAGACCTGAAACCATAAAAATCCCAGAAGTGAGCACAGGCAGCAACTTCTCTGATACGGCCATAGCAGTATCTTTCTAGATATGTCTCTTGAAGCAAGGGAAATACAAGCAAAAATAAATTATTGGGACTACATCAAAATCAAAAGTTCCTGCACAGTGAAGGAAACAATAAAACTAAAAGGCAGCCTACAGAATAGAAGATACCTGCAAATGACATATCCAATAAAGGGTTAGTATCCAAAATATATAAAGAACTAATACAATTCCACATCCAAAAAACAAATGACCCAATTTTTAAAATGGGCAGAAGACATGAACAGACATTTCTCCAAAGAAGACATCCAGATGGCCAATGGACAGATGAAAAGATGCTTGTCACCGTTCATCATCAGGGAAATGCAAATCAAAACTATAATGAGGTATCACCTCACACCTGTCAGAATGGCTAAAATCAAAACACAAGAAACAACAGGTGTTGGTGAGGATGTGGAGAAAAAGGAACCCTCATGCACTGTTGGTGGGAATGCAAACTGGTGCAACCACTTTGGAAGACAGTATGAAGGTTCCTCAAAAAGTTAAAACTAGAACTACCCTATGAGCCACCAATTGCACTTCTGGGTATTTACCCAAAAAATACAAAAACACTAATTCAAAGGGACACATGCACCCCAATGTTTCTTGCAGCATTTTTTTTTTAAAGATTTTATTTATTTATTTGAGAGAGAGAGTGAGAGAGACAGCACATGAGAGGGGGGAGGGTCAGAGAGAGAAGCAGACTCCCTGCTGAGCAGGGAGCCCGACGCGGGACTTGATCCAGGGACTCCAGGATCATGACCTGAGCCGAAGGCAGTCGCTTAACCAACTGAGCCCCTTGCAGCATTATTTACAACAGCCAAACTATGGGGGCAGCCCAAGTGTCCATTGATAGATGAATGAATAAAGATGTAGGATACACATACAATGGAATAGTACTCAACCATAAGAAAGAATGAAATCTTGCCATTTGCAACAACATGGATGGAGCTAGAGAGTATCATGCTAAGTAAAATAAGTCAGTCAGAGAAAGACAAATACCATATGACTCCACTGATATGTGGAATTTAAGAAACAAAACAAACAAGCAAAGGAAAAAAAAGGGAGAGAGAGACAACTCAAGAAACAGACTCTTAACTCCAGAGAACACACTGATGGTTACCAGAGGGGAGATGGGTGGGGGCATGGGGATTAAGGAGTGCACTTATCATGATGAAAAAAATAAAATAAAGTAGCATCCTGTAAAAAAAAAAAAAAAAAGCTGGAGAGGAAGGGAACTAATGTATTCAAAAGCCCACCAGATGCTACAATCACCTATCATGTTGTTTGACCAGCTAACAGCCACATGAGGTAAGTGTTACCATCCCATTTTACAGATGTGAAATACGACTTTGGAGGTTCAATATAACATGCTAACGAGGCTGACACCAACTTCCATTATGTAAAACTGCCAACCCATTAAAAGATCAAAGTATGATGGTGCCTACATACATTTGCAATTCTCTTAGTCAAACCCAAATTTTACACCAAGATAGACACAGGTGTCGTAGACAGAATATAACGGGGTGTGACAAGAAGAAATTTAGTTAATAAGCTTTATTAGAGGCTGTGTGTTTGGTCTGATATAAAATGTGTGTTTAAATTCTGCTTCAAATGATCATAGTTTCTCAAACATAAGACAATACTATGAATAGTACTGTGATCATGTGAAGTCTATTTTTTTAACAATGTACTCAAGCCTTAGCCCTGTTGCCATGGAGATCTTCTGCATAAAACAACTGCATCTGGAGATATTTACTTCAATAAAGTGAAATCTGAACAAGTGCCTCCAAGACAGTAAGCTGTTATTAATTTTATATTTTGGAAATGGGGACAATTGACAACAGTCCAAACAGACTCCATAGATGATGGGTCTGTTTCTTTCCCTGATTCACATTTGGGGCAACTTTCAGCATGCAATCTTATAACCTCCTAACATTCTAAATCAATCAAATCAACATTCTAAATCTGGTGACCACTGAGAGTTTTCCAGAGAGGGGAGG